AAGTATATTGCTAAAATTAATATTTAAGATTTTATTAAAAAAATAAAGTTTAAAAAAATAAATGCAGGCAAATTTGCCTGTGTTACAATTTAAGGGATATTAACCAGGTCACCAGATGAGTAACTGGAGGAAAAGGATCTAACCGTAGGAACCAGAAGCAGGTCACAGCCTCTCTGAGCTATCTAGATTAGAAGTTAGGTTATTGACAAAACTTAAATACCAGTAATAGTCTGTAAAGTGTATGCTGGGATTTGGGTGAACTTTGCAATGACAGAAGTAGGTAAAGATAGTGGCTTTGGCTCACAAGTACTTGTCTTCGGACTTGGCATAAGTTACTGAAATCTAGATTAGCTGGATTGTGAGTATGAAAAGCTCTAGCTAACAATGCTTTGAGGATAAATTAGTCCTAAGGGTACTGAAAAAGCATCTGGGACTTCTTATAACAGGTAATTGTGACAGAAAAATATCAGTGATACAAGCTGAGTTTGTATATAAATGTATCAGGTTCTATAAGTGAGCCCCTTACCTATAAACTTAAATAAAAACCATAGTCCCAAAGAGGCTAGTTATAAAAAAAACAAAAAAAAAAAAATTTTTTTATTAAATTTTTAATTTAATAAAAATTTACTAATTAAAATTTTATTTTAATATTAAAAATAGAAAATATAATAACTAATTTTACCTAGTAGATATATATTCAAATATAAGAAAAAAATATAACTCTTAAAATTAATAAGATTAAGATTAGGGTTAGAATTAAAAGTATTAAAAACAATGCTGCTAAAATACACCTATAATGTTAAACACTATAATTGGCTATATCTCAAAAATATACTAGCTAACACATCTTAAGGGTATTAAGTAAAAATATTTAAAACCTCTAAAAACCTTATGATAACTAAAATTTGGACCTTTATATTTAACCCCTATCTTACTCTAAAATTGCATTCTAACTCTAAATTTTAGCCAAAAACTTATTAACACCATAAATACTATAGGTGTATTTTATATTATTTGTTAAAAAATGTATTTATATACAAAATTTGGTATTAAACAATTTTACTTAAATTATCTATATATAGATTTTTTAATAAAACTCAATGTTTTTTTATATACTGGGTATATATCTACTGGGTACAAATAGAAATTCTCTTAAAAGTAATTAATTTTTATATAATATAATACAAAAATTTTTTAATAAAAATTTAACTATTTTAATTAAAATATTTGGTTTAATTTATTATATATATTATACTAAGCTATACTAGTATTGTTTAATATTAGGCCATGCAAACGTAATTAATTGGTTTTCATAACCCGGCGGCCGGGTCAAAATTTGAAAATTTGTAAAAAAAATTTTTGTATGTTTTAATAACCGGGTGGGTATTTTAAAAAATTTTTAAAAAAATTTTAAAAAAAAAAGCCGGCCGGCCGGGTCTGTTTAAAAGTTTCATATTATGAAAACCAATATATTAAATTTGTATGGCCTTATATATATTATATTTTTAATAGCTTTGCTAATAAAATTTAAAGTTAAATTTAAACTTTAGTTAAATAAAGTTTTTGGTAAAATCGGTACGTAATACAAATTTATAGTTATATATATACAGTATTTAATTATAATATTACAATACTATTTGTATATAACTTATATAAATTAATTTTTACAATATAATAAGTTTATTAATATATAAGTCTCTCAATATAATAAATTTTATTAATAAATTCAATAACTTTATAAAAAAGTTGATAATTTTGATTTTTAATATTTTTAATTGTAATTAATAATAAAATAAAACTTTATAAAACATTATTTATTTTTTTAATAAATCCAATCAATCTTATGCAATTTGGAAATAAGAATTACTTAATTGTAATACAGCAGAATGCATAAATCTGTATTAAAGTGTGAATATTAGCATTGTTCTTTGCACTCGGTTGTACAACTATTGTTCAAATCCTTCTCATATGCTTGTCTTTGTGTTAACAAAAGGTTATCGGCTAAAAGCCTACGAGTGATAGGCTTCAAATAGGTTTATGACATGACCAGTGAACGTGGCAATGATTATTGAGGTTTTTCTTTTTGAATCTTTGCCGCTAGTTACAAACAACCGGTTTTTGGAAAAAAAATTTTTTTTACGTACATCTAAAAGGTGATTCGGCCAAGGCGTGCATTTAATAATTATATTTATGGACTTAAAATATTGACTTGATGTATAAATTTGTCGACTGATATAAATAGCAAAAAGGCTCTAAAAAAATTGAGGGTCACCGACAAGAACCAGAAGGAAAATATCCAAATCAGTATTTTGTGTTAATTATTGAAATGAACAAGTTCGACCGCAAAGAAGGAAGAATTAAATTAATAATTCAAGGGAAAGCAAGAATCAGAGGCTTAGAAACATAATTGTAAAGAACTAAATAAATAAATAAATAAATCTAATGTTTGTATATTTGTTTGGTTGGTTGCGTTTATGATTAACCGTTACGCCGTCCGTTTATTGGTTTATAGGCCGATCTTGTTTGAATGCTATTATTATGACGCGTCTTATCACCGTCTTATCAACATATCGATATATCCTGTTTGGGATTCCTACCGTTTTTGGTAAGCTCACGCAGCACGCTTAATGCTTGGTTTCAGGGTTTTGTATGACCTTCTTGTGCGCTGTTTTCGTTGTTTTTTTCTTAATTTCTGTTCTTTTTTTTTTTTTTTTATTTCAGTTTACGGTGGAGGGTTGTTTTTTTTGCTTCTCTACTTTCTAATTTCTAATATAATCTCCTACTTAGTAATAATAATTTTATCGTTCTCAGTGTAACCTTACTATATAATTTTTAAATTCCCATCACCAAAGCACTTCACACTTCAGTTTTTAATAAGTACTAATTAATTGGGTATTGTAATCTTCAAAGACTTAATTCCGTCCTGTTACACGAACCCTCCAGTGTAATCTTTAAAGACTTAACGACCCGTGGCTCGTTTGATTAGTCAGGTCTTTCTTATTATCTCAAAAACTACATCACCTTGGCTTCACAAGTTTAATCCATCACGCTTTTGCTGTGCAAAACTTGATGTGACCACTTCCACAGTACATATTAAGATATTTATAAAATGGCTTCTCAACAATCGGAAATGGGCAAGGAATCATTTGCTTCTGCTGTTACTGGGAACAGCGCTGGCGGCTCACCTCAACATGAGACGAGATATTTTTCTTCAAAAAGGTTAGTTATCAGTTTTGATTATCCTTTTTTTTTTTTTAATTTATATATATATATATATATATATATATAAACATAGTATTTGTCATGATGAGTCAGTTGATTTAAGGCGATGGAAAATTTTTACTTATTATCCACAATATTGTTTAACAGAGCTAGAGAAATACAGGCGGAGGAAGGAATTACTGCTCCTTATCGTTCAGGTCCCCTTCCACCACCGTCCATTTCTACTAATGGTGCTTTTAATAATGGTACACTCCTCTCGGATTCTGCAGCTAGTGTATCACTTGAATATTTGAACTTAAAGTCTGTTGGGACAAAAGTCTCTCCTACTCCTAGTAGTAGCAGTCCTGATCACCTGCCCTCTTATTCCTCTTCATACCGTCGGACTAGGGCTGATACACTACCTTCTTTGTCACGACCTATTGTTGGCCATCATCCTACTTCTTCATTGTCTATCGCAACACCTATTGGATCCTCTGCTTCTGCTGCTACTCTTCTTACTACCCCAAAACCCAATTCCCGTCTTCGATCTGGATCTCTTACTTTACCATCAGCTTCACTTTCTGCTGCGTTTGGTCCATCTATTTTTACCTCAGGATGGTCTGATCATAGAAGTGAAACAAATGGTCCACCAACTCCTCCAATGCAGACACCCACTACTGGTGATTTACTTCGTGGGGATGAAAATAATACTGTTGGTAAAACTTTAGATTATTTGGGCCTAGATGATCATGAACATCTTAAAGCTACTGGTAACCTTCCGAAAATCAAAGTGGACATGAAACCATCAAACGCTCAAAATTATCAATCTTCTGTGGGATCTATTTCTTCTTTACCTGCTCTTCGTAAGGATGCAAATAGAATTCGTTCTTATTCTGTGTCTGCTACTGCCAAGTATGATGATCCGCCGCCTACAACAACTGTATCTTCAAATAACCTTTTCCCACCAGGTTCTGCAGCGGTGCAACAATTTCATCAAAACCATTCTCGGCCTCGCGCTATTAGTTTGGGTATTTTGGATCTACCAAATGATATTATGCTCATGCGCCAAGGAAGAAATGGTCAAATGTATAATGATTTACCAGAAACCGGGCAGGGTTCTAATACTCCATCTAGATCTCTTGGGGGTGAACAATTGGTTGGAACGATGCTTATGGCTGCTATGGAAGGAAAAAAGAAACAACAGCAACAAATTCATATTGAAGATGATTATTTATTACCGGATCATGATGAATTAGATGTATGATATCAATTTAATTCATAAATTTTATTTTATTTTTTTAATGTATTGTGACAAAATTTTGTAGTGCATTATTCTAATTTGAGTTTGCAATTTACACAGCATAACCGTTCTGGTGTGTCAAGTCCTCATGACCATACACCTGACCATTCTCAACAAAGTACACCTCCTCCACAAACACCTACTCGGTCTTTATGGATTGGGAATATCGATCCGAATCTTAGTACTCAAGATCTTATGCAACTTTTTTCGCCTTATGGGTCCATTGAAAGTTTAAGACTATTGCCAGATAAAGAATGTGGTTTTGTTAATTTTGTTCGAGTTGAGGATGCAGTTCGTGCTAAAGATGATATTATGAATAGAATGGGCAGTCGAGTTGGAAATTGTATCGTTCGTGTGGGCTATGGCAAGGCGGATTCGTTAAATGCTCATGATTTATCACTGTCATCACAAACACAGCTTCAACCTACACGTGCTCTTTGGATTGGAAACATTCCCACCTCGACCACACCACAAATTCTACAGAACATATTTGCACCATTCGGTCCAATTGAATCTGCTAGAGTCCTAACACACAAAAATTGTGGATTCGTCAATTTTGAAAAATTAGATGATGCCGTAAAAGCCAAGAAAGCATTGCATGGTAAAGAGGTTCTTGGAAGTGCTGTTGGCCCTGTTAGAATAGGATTCGCCAAGGTACAACCTAAACCATCACCAACGTCGACTCCAGAGCCAGGTTCTCCTGCAACTCGTCATATTCGTAATCTTTCATCATCATCCTCCTCTTCTAATAACCAATGTTCTGGTCAATGGAACGGACAAGTTGAAAATTACCATAATAATATAATTAGAATGATGATGCCTGGGTCCGGCGGTCTGAATGAAAAGCAATTAATGATGCGCGAATTGAGTGGCGGTGTAGATGATGACATTGAGGACGTCAATGGTAATTAAGCATGTATTGTTAATTATTCAATTCCGAGTTTGTGATATATATTGTAAATTAGTTCGAATGGTTCGCCATGCATAACCAGATTTTGATAAAAATGTATGAAACCTCATTTTTATCGCTAATTTATAATTTTCAATCAGAAAACACTGCACAAATAGTACATACACTATATTATCTATAATCAATATGAATAATAGTAAATCTAATACTTTGATATTTTACGCTATTATTAACTTTAGAGAATCGCCCTCCCACGACGTATTTTACATCTATTCCTCCTGTGGGTGACCCGAATCCGAATCGTAAACCTGATGCTTCAAGATTGCGAGAAATTCGCAAACGTTTGGATAGTGGTCACTGCTCTGCAAAAGAAGTTGAGGCAATTGCATCTGAAGTTTTAGAAGAATGTGTGGAATTGTCAAGCGGTAAGGATATTTTTATATTCCAATTAAAGCACTAGGCTATACACAATAAAACTTATAAAAATATTTTCATTCATTTCAATAAATTTAGACTACATTGGTAATACAGTGATTCAGAAATTATTTGAGCGTTGCTCTGAAAATACCAAAACTAAGATGTTGGAAAAGATTGCACCGCACTTAGCGACTATTGGTATTCATAAAAATGGAACTTGGGCAGCACAAAAAATCATTGATTGTGCCAAAACTCCTGCTCAGGTATGTACATTATTTTTTTAAAATATATATGTGTGTGGATATATATATATATATGTATATGTATTATTGGATTTTAAGATAAATCATTCTTTTCTATTCACATTTTTTTAGATGCAACTCATTACATCTAATGTTAAACCATACACTCCTCCACTTCTTTTGGATCAGTTTGGAAATTATGTTGTACAATGCTGTCTACGTTTAAGTCCTCAAAGAAACCAATTTATATTTGATGCAATGGTAGATAGATGCTGGGAAATAGCACAGGGTCGATTTGGCGCACGTGCAATGAGAGCTTGTTTAGAAAGTCAGCATGTTACCAAGAAGCAACAGGTGAAAACATATCCTAAATCATTATTGATAAAAAAAAAGTGAGTTTTATTAATTCGGTTGATTAATTTTATAATAAATTTTAATTGTGTATAGAAACAAGTTGCTATTGCTATCGTAATGAATGCGGTCCCTCTTTCCACTAATCCAAACGGTGCTTTATTATTGACATGGATGCTTGACACTTCATCCTTCCCTGGTCGATATCGTATTCTTGCTCCGCGCCTTGCTCCTCACTTGGCACATTTGTGCACTCACAAACTTGCATCGTTAACTGTTCTTAAAATTATCAATCAACGACAAGAAGCCGATGCTCGTGACTTGACGATTACATCTTTGTTTTTCTCTGCAAATGATCAAATTCTGGAAGATGTATTGAGCGATCAAGTTCACGGGGTCGGGGTTGTACAAAAAGTTTTGGCTAGTCCATATGTTGACAGCAGCGAAAAACAGAGGTTAGCAGAAAAGGTTAAAATTGTTTTGGGCAAGTTAAAAGTTCAACAGGTGCAAGGATACAAACGTTTACTGGAAGAATTGGGAATGGTTGGTGATCCTGCTTTGGGCGCACCAGCTATGAATTCTGGTCCTTCCCCAGTTGGTATTCCGCAAGGTGTGTTTTCTACTCCTTTGCCGCCAGATTTTGCTGCCGCTGCTGCTGCTTATTACGCTGCTGCATTTGCCAATCAGCAAATGCAACAAGCTGCAGTTAGTAATCCTACTACCGAAAATAGCAATTCTCCTCACGAGCAATTGGCCCCTCAATCGGCAGGGCAACAAACTTCAAGTGAAAGTTCTACTCTAAATTCAGGAACACAGTCTTCCACACCGATGGCTTCAACACCGACAACAACTTATTCATCAGCACCAATGTTTATGAATAATATGCCAATGTCTCCTCACCCACATTCGCCTTTTCCACCTACATCACCATATCCTCACATGAGTCCTTTTACGCCTTTCATTCATCCGTCCACTTTAGCAGCAGTTGCAGCTGGTATGTATGGACATCCGGCAATGTTTAGTCCTGCGGCTTATCCATACATGCTCGCAGCAAGTGGTGCGATTCCACCACCAATCGTGGGCACCACCTCACACACACAAGTCACTAGTTCTATGCCGAACACTCAGATGCTTGCCTTTCTACAGCAGCAGCAGCAATTGTTTCAACAGCAGCAACAACATTCGCAGCCGCAAGAACAACGGTCGCCATCTGTTGGTAGTGATGCGCAGGCGCACACATCTCCTCGAAATGCCATTTCCGAATCGCTTTCACCATCTTCTATTGGTCACGTCGAAGTCCAGCAGCAATGAAGTATTACATATCAAAAACCATAATAATTATTATTATTTTTTATTTTACTATTATTATTCTCATAAATTGAAGTTTTAGTTTTGCTTTGTTGAGTCTGATTTTGGATACAAAAGCTTGCTAAATGGCACTTTTTTTTGTTTTAAGATCTTATTATGACTTTATATATATTTTTTTGGTAATGGTTCACGACAAGAACGAAAAAAAAGCTTTGATCTAGTACATTATGTAGTTATTTTTTTTTTTTTATACCAAAAGTATATAATTTTTTCGTTCCTCAATAATGTAATTTGATTTTTTTTAGTTTATTATTTTTGGATGGGCATTGAGAAAAGTTGTAATACGGAGTAGTTTTTACATTTGGACGGTGTCGTAAAGTTGCGATTATATAATTGATGCTTTTTTCATAAACATTATTTCTAAAATACTTTTTACGACACGTTATTTGATTACTTATAAATAAATGGATAGTTTAATTTCTTGTAAAATATTAAGATTCTACTAGTACATATATACTGTAGTCAATCTTACACCCTAATAAATTTGTAGTATACATATTTAAAACAATTTAATTTTTTCAAAATGATAAAACTTTTTTATGTTAATCCTCCTGATCAGTTACCACGCACACAACATCATCCTGCCATTTTTCTTCAATAGCTGTTAACAACACCCCAGCATTTACAATAACCTCTTCAACACGGGACATTACAATTAGACTCTGAAAATTATCAAATTCTCTAATCATGTTACTAACAACAATTGTTGAATAATCATCAATATTACTATTCCACCACTTAATTGATTCTGGTTCTAAATTGATCTTAAATGTTAAACTACCCTTAGAAACATAAGTAGTTTCATGTTTTAAGTCAAAAGGAGAGAAAACATGTAACGAAACATTTCTGATAGTTTGAGAAGGATCAAAAATGGATAACCAGGTAGAACCAATACTTATATGAGAATTATGAAGAATAGTTTCCCATCTTTCGGTGCCTTGTAATTTTCTAGCTGTAATCTTTACATGTTTAATGGGCGAGGAATTATCGTCATTAATCTTGAATCTAGTGTTAAGTGATAATATATCAACATCGCAAAGCATTAAATCAAAAATATGAGTTGGACCAGAACTGTAGGTATCTAAAGGCTCGATTGTAGCCTTTAATAATTTACCCCGAAATTTTAGTAAATTATTGTTAAACAAAAAAAACGCAAATTCGTTCAATTATTGAACGCACCAGTAAGGAGTTAGTTTTGAATTCACGTTTAATTCTCTCAACTATTATTTTTCGAATCTCGTATCGAAGTGCTTTGGATAAACTTAAATATCTACAAAGATCTCGAGCAGGAATAAAAGTAAATACCGCAAGAATTAGTTCTAACGGTAATTGCTCCGGGCAAGCCATAGCGTTTTTTTTTTTTTTATGTAATGAGAAGGAAAAGTTCCTCGAGAATATAAGTAATAAATAGTACAATACAATGTATATATTTGAATATCAAACAATACGTTACTAATTGCGCATATTGTGTTCATTGTATTGCTGTATGCTTGTGCGTTTCACAACCTTAAATTTTGACTGATGCAATGTTGATCAGTCATTAATTATTCGCATAACGACAAGTATCTTAAAATTGAAAGTTTAGACGAAAGCTAACATCCCAGAAAGTTGGGTGGATAGACAACATTCTTAAAAATATAGGAAAACAATTGTTACATAATAGTAAAGATCGCATGATTGCTGAAGATTGTATCATTTATTTATATCAATTTATAATCTTCCAAGTTAAATTTTTCCCAGCAAAAAATGGGACAATAGAACCCTTGCATTCTTCAACAGATTCATCGAAAGAGTATGAATGAGGAACTAGTAAGGTTTCCTTAACTAATGTAATTTCACGATATTTTCCTTCTTCACTAACACCATAAAATTTCTTGCCATTTTCACATGCGAATTTTCTTAAACAATTAATTGCACCGAACGAATCCAATATTGTGGCAAGATATGGAATAGCTAGAGGTGTTGTAAATACACCAGCACAAGAATGTGCACATTCCTTGAGATAAGCAGGATGTGGCGCCGAATCAGTACCCAAGAAAAATCTTGGATGTCCTAAAATGATGGACGGTAAAATTAATAATAATAGCATAATTCTATGTATCAATGTTTTCAATAAGTACCTTCAAGAACAACATCACGCAAGGCCTGACGATCATGAGGAAATTTAGCAACTGGCTTACAAAAATTATGACATTGACCAGCCCAATCATCTACAATCAATTGAAGATGGTGTATAGTGATAGTACAACCAATAGTATCTCCAAGACTCTTTACCTAATTGATGTAAAGAACTATTACCGGGTTACGTAAAATAATTTTAACGAATTTTTTTAATAAATTAATAAATTACCGTATCAACAGCCGCTTTTGTAGTAGCATGTTCCAGGACTATTTTTAACTTTGGAAAGTCATTATGTAATTGCTTTAAATGCACTAAAAACTTTTCCTCAGCGTTCATAACACAAGTATCCTAAATCAAAGTATTATTATTGTATAATTCATGAAGCACAAATGAGATACTAAAGGTACAAACTTGGTCAGCGTCACTCGGAAGTTCACCATGAAGATTCAGGATCAACCCAACCTCTTCCATTGCTTTAAAAACCGGATAATAAATAGCATAAGATTCGATACCTGATTCTGAATTTGTTGTAACCCCTCTTGGATAAGATTTAACACCTATGATATTGTTAACCCATTGTATTCAAAATAAAATCTAGGGACATAATCACTAATTTTATATATTACCAACAATTCCGTGCTTTTTTGCCTTTCTTATCTCTTCAGGTGTTAATTCAGGACATAAATATAAACTCATAAGGAAAGTGACATTTGGAGCAAGTCTTTCAAGCTGAGCTTTATATTCAAGTGCTTGCTCTGTGGATGTAATTGGCGGTTTAAGGTTCGGCTAGCAAGTTTAACAGTAAATTGTTACCATTTGCTTTAGCATAAGAATTCTAGATTTGTGATTATAAACTTCTACCATAACATAGCATAACGAGACACCACCTTCAGCGATTCTAGGAACTACCATTTCCATCAAGACACCTTGGCGTGTGTGAATATGAAAATCACAAGCCGCCGGTAAAGTAATTGTCGTTTCCATTTTTCAAATTCGAATTAACTTTCGATCATCAATCATCAATTAAATACTATGATCGTCCAATCAGATTTGCAATGAGATTTCAAATGTCAATTTTTCTGCCATATTTTGCGAAAACGCGTCCTTCTAATTTCCATGGAAGCTGTTCAAGCATCATTATTTTTATTATTTAAATATTTACAATGTAAAAAATTATATCACTTGACCAAAATGATTTTAGTTGACGCGACTAATTCATATTACGTAATGTTTCGTGCGATCCGAAACGCTTTTCGGAAGAAATTATTTTACATTGGCGAAATATTTACTATATATTTGTGGATTATTTCGCCTTGGCGAAATATTTAGGACTTTGGAAGTGTTTAATCCAAAACACTAATCTTATACACGTGCGAACTTCGAAGGCTTAAAATCTTGTTAAAATGAAGAGTATCTTTATATAAATTGATAACTAAACCTTGGACCTTTATAAAACATATTGATTTTGATGTGATGATATAAAACGCGTCATATCTATAAGAATCATAAATATAATGTTTATATTATGTTTCGTAAATAAAACGTTATGAATTACATCTTTCAATTGAAAACATATATGTTCAATTCAACATTTACCGTACTTTGACGCGTCAATTAAAGCACTCTTCATAAAGTTTATCTTCCCTCTTTATGTTTGGGCATACCTGGAGGCCATAAGTTCGTCTTCGACATTTCTGATTTATTACCGTTAACATGATTCAAATGATTGAGCATTGAATTTCTTGAGTTCTGCTTCGCTTTCCCTTCGCACTTTTCAAGCAGCGTCAAAAAATAATCGACTTGCCACATGAATGGAATATACCCATGCGACACACGTTTATCATTTCGAACCGTTGGATCAAGCAAGTCCTCTGATCTTAGCAAGTCCATAATTTCCTTCTTAGTCAACGGCATTAATGGTTCGTCAAATGGATTTGATATTAAACGATCTTTCGGAGGCGATAATGTAGATTTCTTTGCACCAGAAAGGACAACTTGTTCGATGTGCCTAAATAAATGTTTAATTATATATATGTTTTATTTATATTTATAATGCAACTTATTATTACTTGATTATAATAAAGATAACTTTAAAAAACATATCTACCTTGGTGTGCTATGATAAGGCGTTATCCTGTTTTTGTTTCCAGTTTCTCTTTCAACCTTTGGCATTTTTATCACTGCTTTATTAATCAACGTGTTCGATTATTCTCACACGCTTCGCTACGACAAATTATAAACTTTATCAGTAGAGAAACAAAGATTGCTCAAAGGTGACTTAGTTAACAGAAGAGTTTTTATAAATCATCATTTTTGTGATATCAATTATGCGCCATATATATATGACGGTAATCATTTGATTAATGTTTGATTTACCGCGATAAAACGTGGTAGATCAAAACAGTAATAATTTACATATTAATCGGAAAAGCTTACCTTATACCTTATATAAAGTCTATCAAGAACACACATGAGATTATGAAATTTTAAACCCCGCATTCTTTTCTTTTTATAAATTTATTTTATTTTTTTTTTTATAATTCGGCTGTCTTGCCACTTTTTATTGAGATTACACTATACTAAGAAATTTACATTCCCTAATAATAGCTATACTTAATCTACCCGTAAAGTGACGTACCCACGCTTTCGCCAGGTATGACTTGCCTTAGTGGACTTCAAGCCTCTTTCCAGGCCTCTAACTTACTAGAGGTTATCTTTTGGTCATGGGCTGGTGCCACACACCATATTCAAATTAACTTTCCTTTTACAAAACGAAAAACAAACACAAATACAAAGGGCATAACAAAAATAGGGAAATACTACAGCGTGAGTTCTGGTTCACCTAAACCAATAAAACCAAATAAAACAAATAACAAAAAAAAAAGAAAAACAAAGAAAAGAAAACAAAGATAGCACTATTAAACCTGTGCGAGATTATAAAAATTATATAGTATTGTCCAGTACAAAAAGATTAATACCTCAAATATTAGTTAATAAAATTTTTAAAAAAAATATTTTTAAATTTTATTTATATAATTTGAAAATTTATACAATAGGAAATATTTTAATATAAATTTTATTAAAAATTTACTAGTTAGATTCACTATTGTTAATTAAAGTAATTTCGCTATCTGATTCATCATCTATTAAAAATATGTCTTCTTCTGATTTCTTATAATATTTTGCAATATTAACAGTTTTTCTCCATAAACCAGTAATAGCTCGCGAGTTTATCTTTTCAGCAAAAGCATAAAGAAGTTTATTTCTAATTTCAAGAAGATTAGAATGCAAACTGGATTTTGCTACTTCATCCTTTACTATAGACCAAACACCTTCAATAGGTTGAAGTTCGCAATGATAGGGCGGGGTATAAAAAATTCTATGTCCATACTGTTTGGCTATTTCTACACAAGCAAAAGGAATATTTTCTTATTTTTTTACAAGCTCTAAGAGTTCTGATTTATATGATCTTTCAGAAACAGTGATATTTCTATTTTCTAATCATTCAATAATCTCAGCTTTTCTTGATGATGTTGTAGGAGTTTTTCAGTTCGTCGCTTATGGTATTTGGCTCCATCTATATGAAAATCTACTTCACAATATTTTTCTTTAACAGATTCACAAAGTTTTTTAAATAGTGATTCGAAAATTTCAGAATTAAAATTGCCATGATAATCAATTTGATTAGGAGTAATGTTCGAATTTTTAATAAAATCAGGAACATCATTCCATTCTTCTGCATTGCATTGTTTACATCCTTTATTTGATGGTGCTTAAATTGTTGGATCCCATAGATGAACTGAGTTTGAAACTAATTCACCTTCTAATTTATTAGTGTTATTATTTCGAAAGATAATAATAGCACCAAAAATTATAATTAATGGCCTATGCCATAATTTTAAAACAATACCCTTATGAGGAATCCAAGTTTTATTTGTTGTATGATTAAGGTGACAATAGGACTCATCTAAAAATACTTCAGGACGATTAGGTACATGGTTATTTCTTTATAAATTTGAAAGTCTATTTCGAAGATATTGATAGCGAAATGCAACATTATTGGAAGATTCATGTAAAATATTTCTTCTTTCTCTCTGGCCAAAATAATATCCCACAGAATGTAGCAAATGAAGAAGTTGCTACTTAGAAACTTTATATCCTTTTCCAAGAAGGTATTGCCTTATTACTGTAGTGAACAAAGGCTGTCCTGCTTTATTTGATTGCATAACTTTCTTATAAATAAGCACAACAAGATCAGGATTAGGTTGAACTTCTGGTTGACCAATAACTTTATTTGGTCTAAAAGTTCCATCATTACTTTGGTTCCATTCTTGAATAACCCATCCAACTGTACTGTCTGAAATGCCCAACATCAGGGCTATATGCTTGCATAATGTGAGTTTTTGATTATGCTTATTTGCAGCAGTAGGGTCTGAAAAGTACTTGTGAATACTAATTATCATTTTTTTCATTGTTTGTTAATGGTGAACCACTTCGTTTATCGTTTAACAATGACATCATAAATCGGTTTAAGTTGTACAATATGTTAGATAAGGCATTCAAGTATTTATATAAAAAAATTGAGTGCTGATTAATTTGATAAAACTAAACTTTATTTAGAATCGATCAACACCTATAATATTTGAAGTGTCAATCTTTTTACACCGACCCATACTACAAATAACCTAGACTAAACTCTACACTAGTTATTTATGTCTATATCTAGAATATAAAAATATTAAAAACTATCCGGTCTTGAAGTAGAGCTCCAAGGGTCGATGCTATCCTATTTCGTCGACATATTTTCTGCAATGTTTCAAATATTATCATGTTATCATACACTATAACCAAAAGTAGATATGTATATGTGTATATGTCTTTCCTTTTTTGGTAGCGATTGTTGTTGTCGATCTTTTGATGAAAGCATGCCATTTTTCTCACTTTTTGAAGAAATTCTGTAAAGACCAAGAGTGGTGATATAGAAGAGGGTTTCGGTTTGTGGGTAGCCTTAAACTTCGGTAAAGAATATGTTGAAAACTCGCTTGTTGTTCTCTTTAGACTATCTTTAACTTCGTCAGCAGAAGCAGAGCTTTTATTAAAATTTTCTGTATAAGGGCACCACCTTCTCACTAGTTATCTTGTACAGAAATGCTTTTAACTTGCATACTGATATACAGAGGAATCTGGAAGAAACATGGAAATCCTTGACCTCTGTAAAAACCGTTATTTATAGTTGTCTCTTCTACTTTTCTTTAACAAGTTTCTGTTTTCATTATCTATAAGTTTGGTCTGAGTGATCGTTAGGGAGAGTTGTGTATAAGATATGGTTTGTATAAATTTATTTTATTAAAACTTTATTTTTATTAAATTATTTATTAAAAGCAAATAATTACTAAAAATCTTGGTTTGTAGGCCTAAAAGGGAGTAGAGAATTAAAAAAAAATATAAATTAATATTACAATATTATTGATTATTGGTTTTTATAATTTTGAAATTTTAAAAAGATAAGAAAATATGTTAAATCAAAAATCAAATTGGTATAGCCTAATTATTATAGATTATAATAAAAAATATATTACTATTAGGGTTTCGCATTTGTGTTGATTTGATTTT